GAGCTCGCTTGTACTCAGCTGTGAGCAAGCGCAGTACCCATCTTGCAGATAACCTTCTCATGCCCAAACATTCACGTCAAATGTTCCATGTGTATCTTACTGAAATATTAAGAGCCTCACTAATCTCATGCAATTTAAATCAATAATCTGCAAATACAACATAATGAACTTTATCGATCATGTCTTAAGTATTCACCTCTTTTAGATGATCAGGACTCTCAGTATCACTTGTGCTCTTACGGCTACAACAAAATTAATAAATCTCTTGAACCATACCATGCTATGGAGTAGTCTCCATAATATTTCCTGAGCTTTTTATTAGTTTCTTTTATTGATTTTCCCGGTAGAAAATAATGTTTAATAAGCATATGAAAAAACTACATACTAAAAAACTAAATTCAAATGATTGTAAAAATTTTTCAAATCAACTTACTGACTTGAAACATTGTATACACTCTTATACTAGAGGGAACTCTCTTGCAGTTTAAAATACGTTACGACAACACCACCATCGTACGTTCAGATGAAGTAAAATAGTCAGGGTCCAGGTGATAGTTTAAGTTCAGTCTTATGTTTTTCATAATTTTTTCATTCATGTAATCAGACAAATGTAAGATTTTGCAAAAAATGTTCTAGATATAAAATGTTTAATGTCAAGAAGTAAATATCCTTAAGACCTTGTCTTTGATCCTGTACGTTTTTTTTGACTTGAGAATGATGTGCAAAATCATCTATATCTACAGCATGGGTTTTGATGAAAATTACGTAATCTTGGAGGTTTACTGTATATTAATAAGAATTAGAAAATTTCGATGATAGAGAGTAATTCCTTACTCAATAAAAACAACACTTCACAAAACCGACATTTTGCTAACTATGTTTGCCAGTCTGTGTGGAGTTCTTCTTTATTAAAAGAAATGTTAAGATATTAAACTTGTGTAAATAAAAACGTACAGAATGTTAATACAAGAAAAATTCAAATAAATTATAATAAAGTCGTAGACAATGAATCATTACACAAATATTGCTCGTAACACATATGTAATTGTATGAAAGTTAAAAAAGATCAAAAGAACCAAAGTTTGTGAATTATTTTCACATCAGATGTTAGATCTCGTTTTCAGAAGCAACTGTTGTTACACTAATCATATTTTACATTATTATATGAACCGAGTCTATGCAATGAATGAAGCATCTGCAAAAAATGCAACAAATCTATGCAACCAATTAATACTACACAGATATCTCTCTGAGTATATAAATTATTATTATTATTATTATTACCATACAAATATATCACTAACTATTTCAATTTATTAAGACCAAATGTGTTATTATAGTTGTTTTCCGTAAACCTATTTAAACTCTTGCAGTAACAATTGAAAAATTGAGTATCTTATTTGATTATTTGATATATACAGCATTCTAATACATAACATACTGTCTTTATTTCCTCATAATTTTCTTAAATAATAAATTTTGTAATAATGGAAAGAAGGGAAATAGTGAGAGATGGAAATTCACTTAATTTTAATTATACTCAGAAACGTTTCGTCAGCACATTTGCTGATCTCTTCAAGCTTTATTAACACGCAATTTAAAAATAGTTACTAATATCTTGAAAAAGAATAATTATCCATCTGAATTTATCAAAAGACACATACAAAAACGGATTAAGAAATATAAAAAAGGGAAGAATAATTCTGTTTTCAAGTAGAAGTAGAAAAGAGAGAGTGAGTAATAGGCGGGATCAAGGAAGTGTATATTGTCGGGAGGTTCAAGTTACATAGAAAAAACAAAAACGCAAACGTATCCCATGGATTAGGGAATAGACCGCACCTAGCCGGCATAAAAACCCCATTCACAATTGGGGAAAAGCCATTTAGATGCGGCAACTTTATTTATACAAGTACAAAACGAAATAGAGCGCAAAAATCGATAGAGACCTCGGAACAATCAAGCTGGACACAGAGGCGGCGTTCGCCCTTACAATTTTTTGGCCTTACATTTTAATTATTCCAAAGTCTCTATCAATGTTTGCGCTCTATTTTGTACATCATTGTACAGTATCTATTTTGTACATCATCGTTACAGTATTTATTTTGTACATCATCGTTACAGTATTGTCCACTGCATTAATTGGTAGCGTTTTCAAAATACGTCTCGTCTGTGTATTGTATTCTCTGTCTAAAATACACAAATCTTTAAAATTAAAGGAATATCCTGAATTATCAAAAATATATTGTAGAACAGAAAGTAATCAATGATCATTGATTAGTTTTTCCCCGTCGATTACGCAGACCGACAAAATTTGAAAAATTCCGCATGAATAGAGCAGACAAGATATTTCCGAAGGAATTTGATGTGCTCAATCCGAACATTAGAAAAAAATTGCTTCATCGCTCTTCGTTTTTGGGATATTCTAACCTCAAAACGTCAAAAACACATTTTTCGCTGATTACAATCCCCATAACTTTGTAAAAAAATGTTAATTTACAAATTTTACGATGATATCTTAACGAAAAATTTTTACCTTTCATCAAAATATATTTCTCATTTTTTTTCACTATTATTACGAGGGTCGTTTGATAAGTACTTAGCCTACAAAAGAAAAACGAAAATTTTGGAAAAGTGGCGTTTTATTTTTCAACATAGTCTCCTTTTAGTTCGATACACTTGGTCCAGCGATGCTCCAACTTCTTTAACCCGTCTGAAAAATACGTTTCCTCGAGGTCTGAAAAGTAGGCTACCGTGGCAGCGATTACCTCCTCATTCGACTCAAATTTCTGCCCGGCGAGTGACTTTTTCAAGTTTGGAAACAAAAAGAAGTCGCACGGGGCTAAATCTGGAGAACATTGTGGATGAGGCTGCAGTTCGTAGCCTAATTCGACCAATTTGGCCGTGGCGACGGCGGAGGTATGAGCCGGTGCATTGTCATGGTGGAAGAGCACTTTTTTCTTCGCCAAATGGGGCCATTTTTTCTGCAATTCGACGTCGAATCGGCCCAATAATTCGGAATAGTACAGCCCTGTGAACGTTTTGCCCCTCTCCAGGTAGTCGATGTAGATCATACCTTGTGAATCCCAAAAAACGGTGGCCATCACCTTTCCGGCCGATGGGGCAGTCTTCACCTTCTTCGGAGCACTTTCGCCGGGTAAAGTCCACTGTTTCGACTGTTCCTTCGTCTCTGGTGTATACCAGTGGATCCATGTTTCGTCGACTGTCACGAAACGACGCAGAAACTCCTTCGGATTGCGCTTAAACAGCGTCAGACATTGCTCTAAAGTTGTCTCACGGTTGCGCTTGTTGTCCGGAGTGAGCAAACGCGGCATCCATCGCGCCGACAGCTTTCTCATGCCCAAAATTTCATGCAGGACATGACCCATGCGGTCTTTTGAGATGCCTACGATCTTAGTTATCTCGCGCACCTTCAATCGTCGATCTGCCAATACGAGATCATGAATTTTTGTCACGTTATCCTCCGTCGTAGCCGTTTTCGGAGCACCTGGACGTGGCTCTTCAAAAATCGACGTGCGACCACGTTGAAATTCGTTAAACCAATTTTTAATGGTTGCCATCGGAGGAGAAGAGTCACCGTACACAGCATCCAAGCGCTTTTTAATTTCGCTGCGCGATTTCCCTTCCAAAAACAAGAATTGAATCACCGACCGATACTGCTCTTTTTCCATTTTTCAAAAATCAACGGACATACTTGCTTTGACACGCTCTCAAAAATAAACTACAACTCCGATCTGGCTGAAATCTTAACAGTAACCATCGATAAGGTTGTACTACATGATTTTCTTTTGCGAGAGTGGTGCCATCGGGCGATGAGGCTAAGTACTTATCGGACCACCCTCGTATATTAGTGATATGGTATATTGAAGTATGATTAATTTGTATTTTCGTAAAAGTCGTTTAAGAAGAGGAAAGTCTCGCTGAAAGATAACAGTGGTAAACCTAGCAGGGTTCAGGATTAGTAGGTTGAGGAACTTAGGATGTAAAGGTTATGCACTGTGGCATATTGCAAAGTACAGGGTTGGGTTCGGGTCTTTTTATTAAGAAACTTGGCATGTAATGGTTGGATGTCATTGCCTAGCGAAGTATAGGATTCTTCGATTAAGTTACTTGAAATATTATTTTTTTCAGCGAAGATTATCTTTAAACGGAACTTTCCTCCGATTCAACAGCATTTGCGAAAATGCCAATTTATCATACTTCATTGTGTCATATCTTTGTCGAAAAAATGATATAAAAAAAAATTAAGTATTGTATTTTGAAGGGCAAGAAATGTTCTTTAAAGAACCGTTATCAAATTTCCAGAAAAACATTTTTTTCATAAAGTTATAGGGACTGAAAAATAGCAAAAAACCTGTTTTTAATGCTTTTAAATTAAAATATCTCGAAATCTGAGCATAATGAAGCACTTCTGAGGAAGGATTCGTATTTCGGACATCGAATTTTTTGGGGTAAATCAGCTCCAATCTGTGAGTGTGAAGAGATGGTGGCCTGTATTATAAAGAGAAACTCTGAAGAAGTTGATAAACGTAGTCAGCAAAATATCGATTTTGTGAAAAATTTTATTATTTTCGTTGTCATCGAGTAACTTTCTATAATCGAATTTTTCTGGATTTTTGTATTTTTTTTATAGAATGCAAAAAAAGTAAATATAACTGATTGTAATAAAGCTGATTTCAGATAAACTTAAAGCATCATTTGGATCATTATTATCTATTTTACCTGAACATACGAGTAGAATGTCCCGCTTGTTGTTTGGGGTCAAAAGGAGGTTTGGGTTAAAAAAAAGTAAGTTAATCTCGAAATGATCTTGAGTATGATCTTATAGGTCACCGTAAGATGTACCGATCAGAGACTAACAACTTTTATTTAAATTATTTTTACGATTGATCTGAAAAACCAGGTATATAATATATTTTTCAATAGCAATGCATTCATAAGAATAAATTACTTCAAAATTAATTAAACTATGTTGTTTTCAGAGCATTCATCAGAATCTTGTGTTCATGTTGTCCAAGGAGAATGAAACGAAAATACCAGGGTGGAGCTTTTAGATGCAAAGCAAATCAGGTAATATAATGAAAATGTATATAGATGATATTTTACCTTTATAATTGAATTTATAAATGATTTTATAAATAATTAATCTTTATTTAGTTCCTTAACAGAGATAATCAAGCCGAAATATCTAGATTTTGAAACCGTATAACGAACTGTTTGGTCATTTTACACTTTGCGTAATGAAGCCAATATAAGAATATTTTTCAACAATTCGTCGGGATGTATATTTATAACCCTATTTTGAGTGATTTTAAAAATCATACAAAAGTTTCGTAAATGGTACCGTATATCCGATTCATACTTAACACCCCTGGGTTACTCATCACAACACCCCTCACTCGAATACAGGACTAAGCAGAACATTGTCATTAAAGTAATAAAATCGACATAATAATAAAAAAAAAACAAATAAAATGTCCACAATACGACTCGCCAGTATTATAATTATTACAAACAAAATAAAATTCACGCAAAACAACAAAATAAAACCCTGTGACATGTGATCTGACTTTGGTACCTTAGTTTTCTCGCGCTTTATCTGGAGCTGCGTTCTTGCATATCGCCCAGGCAACGAGCTCGTACGCCTAGTGTTGCACTCTCGCAACTTCTTCGCACTGAACTGGCGTCAAACGTGCTAATTCCGTTAATATCGTCGCTAAAGGATCAGGTCTGATGTTATCATCACTTGTCGCGTGTTTTCGTTGCAAGTGCGTTGGCTACCTCTCTGCTCTCGCTTGCTGTTTTTCTCGTCGACGACGCACTCTCGCACCCGCTCTTTCGCCGTTTTCTATCATAGTGTTTCTTCTGGTGATTCTGCGCTTCCTCAGTGTGTTTTATCAACAGGTTGCATAGCGGATAAAGCCTCGCCATTCGCTCGCTCCAATCTTTAATTGTTGAATGAATAATCAGTGCTCGCGCTTTTACTTCGCGTTGCAGACTCTTCACCTGCTGTGGTTCACGACCAAAGTTTAAGAACGCCGGGAAGATCTTTGTGCTCACCGGAAAAACCCTATTCATTGTCTGCCTAAACTCATGTAAGTACTTATCTCAATTTCTGTGATCCTGGTTCGCGAAAATCGCTATTATCAACTTCAGGGTACTCGCTCGGCGAAATTCCCCTGCTAATGGTACGGTGCGCAGAGTACATGCTCAATCTTGTACTCGTCCAAAGTCGCTTGGAACTCCTTCCCGCAAATACTCTTACAGTTATCTGTCACAATGTACGCCAGTACTTCCCACCGATATAAGATGAGCTCTTTAAGAGCTTGCGCGATTACCAACCACGATCGCTCGACTACTCGTTTGCTCATAAGGCCCATTGATAACTACTTCTCGATTATATACCATTGGTTTTTTTTACACGATCGCATGAAATCTGTAATGTTGTGATGAGGTGTCCATGCCATGAATAATCCTTCGCTACTCTATCATAAATTTTATCCCTTCCGAGGTATCCCGCCGACGGCTCACAGTGTGCGTCTCGCATCACTTGAGCTCGGTGTTCAAACGGTATCACCAAGACCCTCCACTGCTCGTGATTTGTAACCGGATCTAGCAATCTATCCTTCTTAAAACTATAGAGCATACCATCTCTTCTATTCTCAAATTTCTAAATTTACCCGATCTCGCGATTACATCTTTCATGTGCTGCAAGTATTCAGGACCCTTGATAATAGCGATTGCTGCTATTTCCTCGCCGTCTTTCCACGCGCACGACAACGCGTCCGGCGTAGGCCACCCTTTCTGTACACTATCTCAAAATCGTACTGTTGAAGTTTGAGGACCTATCGCGCAAGTTGACCTGTAGGCTTTTTCTTATTGCGTAACCCAATAAGTGTCGTGTGATCCGTGACTAATACAAAATGCACTCTCTCAACATATGGGCGGAACTTTTTAATTCCGATGATTGCGGCCGCGCATTCTAGCTTCGACACTGTGTAATTGCGGTGTAATTGTGCATTCAATATTCTACTTGTGTAGCATATCGAGTGCCCGAAACCGTCTGCGTCCTTTTGAATCAAACACGCACACAACGCATATGACGACGCGTCGCAGTGGATGAAGCTAGTCCTTGCAAAATCGGGTCCTCGGTGCTCCTGTCCCCAATGCCAGAGTTCAATTTTTTGTGTAGGCTTCGTAATAACAAAGTGAGAATCTTCCATATAAGGCCTAAACTATTTTACCGCAAAGAGTACCGCCGAAAATTCGATTACGCTGACCGTATAACTTCGCTTGTGCGCGTTTGGCATCCGACTGGCGTAACATATTGGATGCTCGCCATAGTCGGATACCTGAATCATATATGCACCAACCGTGAAGAAAGAGCCATCGCAGTGCAAACAAAAGGGGCGCGCGAGTACCGGCACCTCTGTTAACGCGCGCTTCAACACCTCAAATGAAATTTTCTGTTCCTCTTTCCATTCCCACGGCTGCTCCTTCCGAATAAGGTTGGTCAACGGGACTTTATCTCACTCTTGTGTTCCATAAAACGCGCGTATCATCATAACATACCTAAAAAACGGCGCAATTGAGCTACGTTACTGGGCGCGGGGTAATCCACTATTGGCTTTACCTTGTCATCATCCGGATGCAAACACTCGCTATCTAACCTGTATCCTATATAAATACCACGGTATAAAAGAAATCGAATTTTTCTAGATTTATTTCGAAACCGACGCTTACTAACCGCTTCAAGACTCTCTCTAATCAGATCACGTGGCTATCGAAATCCGCACTAACTACCAGCAAGTCATCGAGATACCAAAAAACATGCGGTTCGTATTCTGGACCGAAAAACGCATCCATGAGAGACGTGAAGGTAGCCAGTGCGTTGATCAAACTGAACAGCATTCGCTCAAATTCCCATAATCCAAGACCTGGGACTGCAAATGCCGTACACTGTTTGCTGTTTTCCGATAGTAGAATTTGCCAAAACAACGCTCGTAGATCTATTGTCTACAGGTATAAGGATCGCAGGTTTGTCCTTATTTTCAAAAGCGATGGCCTTGTTCGTAGCCTGGCCAACCGTGGGCAAAATACTTGAACCTGACTCTCTTGTGTTCAAGCGCAGCGATGGCAACTCAGTTTGCCTCACTGGGCACTTCTTAGGCGAGCTAACCACCATACGCAAATTACCTGGATAAATCACTTTCCTTGCCTTGTCGTTTGGTAAATAATCAAGCGATGTGGAGTTTCGACTTTTAGAGCTGAATTCTGCGCTTCCTTGTACCGTATCGTGCTTATTTGCCCGTTTGGACCTATTACTAGCCTTACTAGAGGAATCTACACTTACGTTACACTGTGCCCGAATTTTCTCTACTTTTGAAGTAGAAAGCTCACCCTCGAACACACTTTGTATATTACCCAATCCACATACTCTACATTACTTTCTTCAGAATTCTCGTACTCTATAATAATCACACGCTTGACTTTAGGATTCTCGTTCCTATCTAATACTCTATCTAAAAAAGGAGGCGCTGAACTCGCAATTTCTGCCTCGTTCTCGCCTTCCTTTTTTACTTCAGTTTCATTTCCTTCTTTCGCAGTGCATTTGTTCTTTACGCAAAGCATTCTCTCTACCTCGATGGCCCGTTTAATCCATCTTAGGCAGGAGTCGTCGAGCGGTCAACGGCTCCTGCAAGGATGTTTCCCTGCTTAACCTGATTACAAGTAGGGCAATCTCTAAAAACGAATCCAACGGTCCCGCACACTTGTCAAAATGGTGTACGCTCGATTGATCGAGTCGGGCAATTATTGGCATAATGTCCTTATTGCCGATATTTGCAACAAACAACTGGGTTGACTCAAACCATCGGGCATTGTGCCTTCCTATTACCTACCGCGTTCTAATTGAAACAGGCCTCCGTGAAGGGCCTATTTAAATTGCTCTTGAACGGGTTACCTCTTTGATCACGCTGCTGTGCTGGTGCTATCAAACTAGGGGCTCCTTTTGTAGCCGAGGCTATCGAAGCCTGCGCGCTCTACTGAGTAAGCGCAGCTTCTTTCGCAGGTTGGTTTGTCGCCGGTGGCTGCAGCCGGTAGGCAACTTCACCTCTTTAGTTTTTGCTTTTTTTACCTTGCTTCTTCTTTGGCTGCGCTTTCTTTTTCGATGGCTCAATCGTTAAAATTTCGTCTACCGTGTCGCTAAAGCCTTCAATAACCCCTACCGATTTCTGCTTACCTTGAGACTTTTTCGTCTCAGTGTACGCACATTCCTGTATTAGCGTTGGCGGACGTTGCCAGCTTTTCCATCTTGCCCTACGGTCTCCTAGTGCCATTCCTGCTTCTTTAAATTCGTTTAAATCTTTAAACGTTTTAGTCACGAGGTACCGCTTGTATCTCGGAGGTAGGCCTTCCACAAGAATAGCTAACTGACGCTTGACCGAGACTAGCGGATCGAAACTGCGTAGAATCTTTTGGCAAGACGCGACGTAATCAGTTATTTTCTCGTCTTCGCCTTGCGTTCTCTGCCTAAGCTCATCGTAAAACTGATCTGTATTCAATCGGCGGCAGAATTCGCCAGAAAAACTTTTTAAAGTCTTTCAATGTCTTGCAATTGCCGCGATTTACTTCATACTACGAACTCGCTTTGTCGCGGAATGCGGTGCCTATCGCGATCAGCATCTCTTTGTTGGGGATGCCGTAGTAACGCTGGCAGTCACTTAAACCCGGTAGGAATTTCAAAGCGTTCATACCGTCTTTACCTGAAAAATGGATGGACCAAGCATTGAGTGCGCTTACCTTGTTCGCAGATATACCATTGATATATTTTATTCACGGAGGGCCTCTCTCTGCTCAGTTTCTCTATCTTTTTCTTTAGCAATCTCTCTGTCCGCGTATCGTGACTATCGTTATTCGACGGGCACGTGCTCGTATCGCTTACTCCTAAAGTCTGTACTTTTTCTGCTTTCTTTTGCCTAGGCCGCTTCATACTAACTACACTTCTCTTATCCTCAACCGAGCCTTTTCCCAATGAAGCCGGTGCTCGCGTTTCATTCCTAGTGGCTGCC